TGGAGCTTGCAGTTTGTCTCAAGCAGGTCTGAAGGGATCGATGGATGGCAGGGTGGAATTCAGGCTAGAACTTAACAGCTGAAGCACTTTATACCTTGTGTGGCTGTGGAAACGAGCCAAACATGGGTCCAAAGTTCTGACTTTCTACTTCCACTGAATTTAGGCTCCAAGGGGAAAAAGAAATAGGAAGCTCATCTCTTCCATCTGAATCACAAAGGGCTTTTTCTTAAGAACTGCTTGTTTTTGGTGTTGTAGTCACAGTGAGAGTTCCTTTTTATTGTTGTATGGACACTATAAAGAAAGGTTAAGCATGACATGGGGATATAAACTGAAGGACATTACTGGATTAACTCACATGAAACAAGATGTTTTCCAGTAATAAAGAGAGTAGTGTCAGGTCTACATTGACTATGGTGACATCTGCCCATTCCATGTTAACCAAAATCTCTGTCTTGGGGATTGTCATTTATAGTGTCTTCCTTGTTATTGTCATAGACTGTTCAGTCCCATCATGTTCCTCAACTATGCCTTTAACCACTGCTACCCTTCTAATCCACACTGGAAGTCTCAGGCACCTCTCTGGAGGCTTGATCTTCTTCCTAAGTTAAGTCTGTATTTGTTTCCATGAATGTTTCTAGCTGGAGTTGGCCGTCTTATTGCATGCTAACCCAGTTCTGTCTCAGCGAGCATGTTTGCTCATGATTCATATCTGTCTTGTTATCATCTATCATCTACTTACCTATGTATGTATGCATCTGTCTGTCTACCTATCTTTTCATCTGTCTGACTGTCTTACCTATCTGTCAGCCTTGGACTACAGAATTGCATCTTACCCTAATGTTTCTGTGAATTCCCAACCATATCCTCAGAAATAACAGGTTTTGTGCCACTGGATCCTTTTCTCTGAAAGTGTAGAGAGAGTCTTATCACTTCCTTGTAGTAGTGAGAAGCTACAGAAAGTGACCGGTTATTGTTAAAGGGGACAAGCTATCATAATTCTACATAGGAATTTGTTCCGTAGGCTAGTCCATACCAAACTTTTTTATCTTTCTTTTTTCACTTCCATTTTAAAGATATTTTCTTGCTATGTAACCCTGGCTGGCTTAGAACTCACTGTATAAACTATACTGGCAACTTATAGAAATCCCCCTGCCTCTGCCTTACCAGTTTGGGCATTCCAGGTATTTATCATCATGCCTGACTTTTACATCAAGCATTTCAAAGGGATGGACATGCAGTTTGAGAAGCACTGTGTACCTGCTGGCCAATGCTAATGGGAGAGAGACGTCCTTAGGTCTGTGTGCTTCGGTGCTCAGGCAGTTGGTAGCTATATAAACAACAAGAGTGAGTAGTGTTCCATGTTCCTTTGAAAAGTCAGATATTGTATGTCGTTAGTGACCGTGTTTTACACAAGTCTCTCTTACTGTCCATGAAGCCAATCTGCTCAAACACAATATTTACAAGTGGAAACACTTCCTTGCCTCCAACTGAGACATTCCCCTTACTGAGATTGATTACTGGGTTTAATGACATTAAGAGTTCTTAGGAGGCAGTAAGTGCTCAACATCTGTTAGTGCTAATTATTGCTGTGTTCAAATACTAGGAAATGTATTTTACGGTCCTGAGCAAAATTACCTGCCACCCCGGTGTTCTTTATTGTTGTTTTTAGGAATGGGGGGGGTTAAGAAATTAAATTTTAAATCAGCATCGTTTAGTAGACTAAATGAAAGCTAAAACAGAATTCTTTAGATTTTCTAACCCTATACTCTGCGTAGTAGCTCACATTGTGTTTTGAATGTAGGAGATCTACTGTGTTGCTTTAGAGATAAAATTGGAATCAGAAGCTCACCACTTTGGGGTCAGTCACTGGCCCCAAACTCACAATGTCAAAATTATGTTTTGATGGCTACTAGGGTTTGAATACAAAAATGGTGCTTTGGTTGTTTTTATTTTCGTTTCAGTGACAGAGTGTCATTCAGAAAGATTGTGGGACTAAATCTGAAGCCCCATCTTGGCTCTCTGCCTACTGGTGTTGTGTTTATGGAAGCTACTTGCCCTTTATAGTAGGTGCTGATAGGAATCCCATAGGGCTGTCCTGAGAGAACAAAAAGGAAGCCAGTGGGCTCACTGTCAGCTTGCAAGTTCTCAGTGACCCTCTTTCCTTTCCTTCCTCACTTCCTCCCTCCTTTCCCTCCCTCACTTCCTTTTTGTTTCACGGACTGTTGGTAAGTCACGTTGAGCTCTGTGGCAGACACCGGCTCCCCTTTTGTGCTCTCCTTGTATCCTAGGTAGTGCTAGGTAGAGAATTCACAGACAGGCAGTTTCTTCCAAGAAGCCAAGACAAGATTGGACCATGGACTTGTAGACCTAAGTCCCATTTTCAAATCTCTGCATGAGACTATTTTTTTTCCCATTGCCACAAAGAGACTGAGTCTCGTGGGACTGGCTTTGCAGAGTGCCCACACCATGCCTGCTTGAAAAATGAGCTTAGTGAACAGTGAACCTGTGAGGTGAAGCAGGTGCAGGAAAGAGGCAATCGTACTGATGGCCTAGCCGGTGCGATTTCATACAGCGTTTGCTGTGGCATTGCTCAGATATATATAGCTTTGGTCTCTCCTGGTGTCATTTTATAAATGGTCTCTTCCTTGCTCCATCATTTTCCTCAAAATACAGTCCACAGTATTTTGCCGATAAAACTATTTTTGGCTATTTTCTTCCCTCGATTTATTTATTATAATTCATATTTCTCTAATCTTACTGTGACAGTGTTCTCTTTGTAACAATTATACAGCACGTAATTTGTACACCAGCGATCAGCAGACTGCCCACAGGCTGTATCTGGCCTGCCTCCTGTTTTCATTATGGCCAGAGAACTACTAGTGGTGATTTTAAAAATTCTAAAAGTAAATTTAAACAAAATATGTTTAAGCTTTGTGTGAGAATAGCTGTTTAAATAGCTGAGGGTATTCTTGCCTACGAAACCTAAAAACTCTGGTCCTTTCCAAAAACAACTTTGTGACCTCAGCTTCAGACTTCCATCTGGAACATTTGTCAATGACCAAATGAAATCAAGGAAGCCATAAATTTAATTAAGTAAAATAAATTAATTAAAGTCGAGAATGCATTATAAGAGTTAAGAACACATAATGCATAGGAATTTGGTTGGACCTATACTCGTTTAGATTTAGCAGATACTTCAGAATTCCCCCAGCCCATGGCCTTGCAGAGGTCTTTATGAGACCCAGCAATGAAGGCAGATAGATAGGAACAAACAGTTTCCCCGTAAGGGTACCACGCCACGCTTACTTCTGTTTGTCTTCCCTGGGATGATGCTCTCGGAGCCCTTAGACTACAGGCCCTCAAATAGAGGGATCCCTGAAGTCACCAGCTAGCAGGAAGATGATGAGCCAGAGGCAGGCAGCTAAATACAGGAACCATCATGGTTTCCCTCTGTCCACATTTGTTCCTCCTAGAAGGGGAAGTGTCTCAGGGTGTAGAGTAGCACAGATTTTTCTCAAGTCAAAACCTCTCTGAGATGTACATCAGTCCTCAGGAATAAAACAAGGAGTTGAAATGTCAAGTTTGAGGCGCCCACTTGCTCGTATTTCAACAAGGAAGATACTTGCTTACTCAAAATACGTTTTGTCTCACAGTAGACCTGGAAGTCGGCATAACTGAAAACTGTTTCCCAAACAGAGAAAAATATTCAATTAAAATTCCTTCCAAAATGTCATATATGAGCATAATTTCATGCTAAAGCATGAATGTCTGCTTGGAAATCAAGTAAACGCCAAGGTGAAGAAAGTCTGTGAGGACGGAAAAAGGGGTCACAACAAAACCAACTTGGGTGTCTGTGCAGTTTTGCCTCAGGTTAGTGGCAATTGAAGACTGGTTCCTTACAGCCCAGCAGGCCCTATAAAGGACTATTGTCACCAACCTTTCCACATCTAGGAAGAAAGATCTTCTCAGAGTCCACAGATCAGCATTTCTTTCTGCTAGAAGAACATGGCAGTCAAAACCAGATTGGCTGTCCTTGCTACAGATGCATTTCCAAGCAGCCTCCACTGCAAGTTGTTTCAGAGTTCGTGCAGAAACACAGCAGGTGGGATCATAGATCCTGCCTTTGATAGTATAGCCGTGAAATACATAATAAGGGTTAGAGACCTGGTATATTTACTAAAATGGTTATTATTTTTTATGAGTAAGTTGGACTTTGTTACAAAGACAGAGCCGAGGAGAACTTTTTAATTACTTCCCGGAGCAGTTAGCCATGCCAGCTCCATCTTTCTCCTTTCTCCTTTTCCATCCTGACTTGAAAGGGGCTGAAAATCTAAAGTACAGGGAGAGAGGAGATGCGGCTACCCAAAGGGAAGTCTTGAGTGGTCTGTATGTTCACATTATCCTACCGACTTTTCTGTATAACTTAAGGTGAATAAGTGGGAGGGCTGGTACTCCAGAGGAGGGAAGCACAGTCTGAGATTTGAGGTTTGATGTGTCATGCATTGTCTGGAAAGATTTAAGAGGGCTGCATGAAATGTTGGCCCTGGAGAAGAGCCTGAGTGATGCCATCCGAGTTGCGACAGAATGTCTTTGTTCTGTCGCAGTACAGATGGGAAACTTCCCGAACAGAAGCTAATTACACCTGGTATTTCAGGATGTTTGATGGTAACCTTTGGCATTCGTGCCGGTGACATATCTTCTAGCTGGACCATGGTAGATTCCAGAAAGACTTGAGAGCGTGCGTACACTCCCAAACAGTAATGACATCTTCCCTGGTGGTAAATCTAGCTGCATGAGCTGGAAATGTAATTGGGCTGCCTACACTGAAGTTTGGAGCTCTTGGGAGACGTCTGTTTGTAAGAGAACCTGAATATTCATCTAACTATCCAGACATCAATAAATTCTTACTGTACCTTATTTATTTCTGTTCCCCAGTGATCAGCGGTTCTATTAAGCACAAAGCTAATAGGTACATTCTTTAGAGCGGTATCCTTACATACCTTAATCCGGCAGCCTCCTAACACAGCGGTTTATCCATTGCCAGGTAGCTCTCCTGTCAGGAGACACATGTATGTTTTCTTTGTCCTAGAGCATTGGAGACAGTTGCCATCAATTAGCTGAGGGTAGCATGTCAGGGATGGACGGGTATTGTCATTTTAGTCTGACAGCCACCCGATGCGCTTGAGAGGGAATTGTTTCATTACGCTGTTATCGGGGCTGCTGGATAATGATACTCCACATTGCAAGGGGGGGGGAGAGTGGTGAGACAGGCAGAAAGAATGGATTTTCAGTGATTGGCAATATTAAAATTATTCATGCTGGAAGGAGAGGGGAAAGATCAGAGGGATGGATGTGCAAACCCTTAAGAAGCAGCTTCCTCCTAACACAGGTGGAATGTGGGTGCGGAACGACGCCCTACTTGATGGAGAGGCAGAGGGGCGGGCAGTGCCCTGACATCAGGTGGGAAGGTAAAAAGGAACAGCCCCTTCTCATCCGCAACAAGCATTAGCATAAACCGGGGTCTCCCCCATTCTCCAATTAACTTTAGAATTAAATTCAGGCTCCCTAGCAGATTGCCCTGGCAGGCATTTTCCTTGCTAGGAAACTCTCTCTGGTGTGTGAATTTAGGTCAGGAAGGCGTTTTCCATCCGATGACAGTGCAGTCAAATTGCTTTGAGGTGTTCTGTGAAGAACAGCAGATGGTATTAGACTTAAATGTTCACTTTTGGTGACTAAGTTTCTAGATGCCTCCAATATTGGTCAGTTTCCTCAGAACATCTAAAGGGAAGCCTTTCTTTAAATTCTGAAAAATTAACCAAAGCTGAATCCGTATGCTCTTGGAGAGGAGAAGCGAACAAGAAGCCCTGAAAAATGTAAAAATACTTGAAAAAAAGCTAAGCTTCAAGAGGGACAATTGTGTTGACATTTTAGTAACAGCCCATTTCGCTCCTTAGTGAAGTGCAGCCATGCATGAAAATGACTTGTTATCGTCTACACTGAAATGTATTATGGGCTGTATCTCAAAGGTGTGTATTACTCCTTCAAAGTAAAGGACAACATGTTAACCCTGTATGGATTTGTTCTAGTCCTCAAATACTTTGTAGCACTTGCATAAAAATATTGAACAATAAAAAGCTGATTGAATATGATTCATAAACTCCTCCCCAGTGACGAATTCCAGTGCACAGTTATATTGCAGTTTTTCATCCGGGCTTTTAAAAAAGAAAGCTTAATCGGATGTTTACCATTTTGGGGCAATGTATGTTTTTGTCATTCCCTAATCATATTAAAATTGCATTAATTAAAACAATATGATAAGAATTACAATAAAATGATAAGAGCATTTTGTGGGTGAATAACCAGAGTTCAGCCTTTGTGCTGTGTTTTTAATTTTTAATCATATTCTATTTTCTACATATCAGTGTGTTGACTGCATGTATGTCTGTATGACTGTGTACCACATGTGCAGTGTTCACAAAGGCCAGGCTGGAAGAGGGCACCCTTCCCCTGGAACTGGAGTTACAGGCATTTGTGTGTTCCCAGGCAGGCACTGGGAACCAAACCTGGGCCTGCTTCAGGAGTAGCACATGGTGTGAACTGCTGAGCCATCTCTCCATCTCCTATTTAGGTTTTCAATGTATTATATATTTATATTTTTCCATGCAATCCTGTGAAGTATTATCCTTTTGAAGATGAAGAAACATCAGGCAGTCACTCGAGCTAAGCCTCAAACCCAGATCCATGTGACTCCTATTGTGTTCACTCCTGTTCCCAACCATGCTGACTGACACTGTCCTGAGCGCCTGATTTCTGATGGGGCCAATGGAGCCAAAATCGCCACTGCAGTTAAATGGCTTATTGAACTCCTCCCAGGTCTAAATTTCTCCTCTTGGGAGAGAGACAGAGAGACAAGATTAAGATCACCTTTCATGCGGACCCTCTAATTCTTGCTAATGTCTACTTGAGAGCCAATTTACCTCGGGTTCATCGATTAGTTTGCTCCTCTGAGCCTTGACCCTTGAAATTCTGCCTGAGAGATGAATGGTCAGCCTAGACTTCTTTCCTTATGCTAGCCACCAAGCAATTAATGTCATTTCTCGGGAGCCCAACATGGCTGTGGCATTCATTACAAGAAAGAGTCATCATCTTCAAATAAGTTGAATTTCCTTTCCAGTGAGGACAGGTCAGAGCTGGGCTAGGGCTTCTCAGTAGCCACGAATGCCCTGAAGTGAGGGCTTACAGGGAAGCTCAGTGGTCTCCACAAACACAGTAATTCTCCTCTAGGCTCATTATCGACAGCCCAGGACATCCTGCTTGCTGCAGTAAAGGCGCACATAGCCGATTGCTCACGAATCGCCCTGCAGGCCCCACTCCTTGCCTTGCCTGTGGATCAATATGCGTCTGACATGGATCCGAAATCTTTATTTGGGCAAAAGCACATTTCTTACCAGCTGTTTGTTTTCCAAACGGAATAATTCAGTTAATTTCTTGTCTGGATTAAATCTCTTTATCAAGGTTGAGAGCGGATTGGGACAAAGAATTTTTTTTATTTATTTTATTTTTTTTTTACCATCTAACTGAGAATGTTGCGGCCACCTGTTTGCCTCTACTCCGGGATGCCTTTTCAGACGCACTGCTAGATATGGATGCACTTTGTTCTGAGTCCGCCGGGCCCTCGAGAGAGAGTGTGGGATGGTGGTTAGGGCCATATGACCTGAAATCTCACTTTGGATTTTGCCTTCACCATTTGTTCACCAAGAGACCATAGCCATCTCATCTAACCAGGAATCCATAAATAGCAAATGTCCTTGGCATATGACAGGTATTCAATCAATCATAACTGTGAGTTCCCCAATATGGAGAAGGGAGTTGATATAATGAAGCTGAGACCTGGGTCATCCCCTGCTACTCCGTGTGTATCTCTGGACCATTTTGAAAGTCACAAGAAGTTTAGAATCTCAACATGTCTCAGGCTACAATCTAGGTTATCGGAAAGTATGTTCTACTTCCATGGCTCTTTCTGGGTTATTGGATTCTTTAATATCAGAGAACAAAAGGGTAGCTGCTCACACAGTTTTGAACAGGAAAACATACTAGCTATTCCTCACTTCCCTGGGGGCTGAACCTAGTTCTGCACGTGCCAGCCCAGGACATTCCCAATGAGCTATATCCATAACTTCTTCTTTGGTCTTTTGTTTGAGGCAGTCTCACTAAATTGCTCAGGCAGGCCTTGAACTTTAAATCTCTTGCTTGTTATCTAGGATTACAGGTTTACTCTATCAGGCCTGTCTATGCTAGCTACATTTTTATGCCTCCGACTGACAGGAGAGTCTCTGTGCCAACCATCTGAATGGATGGAAACAGTCATCAAATGATGTGGGTAGTAGCTCTAGCAGACCTAGGATAACAAGGCAAGAAGATCTTTATTTGGGGTCCCTAAAGTACTCCTTGTATCCTCTGTTCACATGGTGAATACCTCACAAGGGAAGAATCTCCAGATGTGCCTTTCATTAGAAATAATATATTGTTATTAATAATATAATACATTAATAAATTATAACACTATAATATCATTTCATAATTATATGCTGTAATATTATCTTAACATAACAATTACTAATAATATTAATAATGAATAATATATTGATAGTTATAATAGAGATATGTTGATTGACATTAACTGAAATAGTCACGAGCCTTTCGTGGCTCCAGCAGCCTTTGAGATTGCTTCTAGGAACCTCATGGATCTCAGAGCCACCTCTGCCTGTCACTGCCATAAGCCAGGCCCCATGAGAAAGAATCCGTAGTGGTAGGGAAGAGAGCTCCTGGCTCTGGGCAGCAGGCAGAGTTCATGCATTCATTGGTTGTCCAAGCTTTATTTCCTTGGGGAGTTCACCATCTCTTAATCACAAAGGCAATAAGGGTTTCTAGTTTGTTCCTTTGCTGTGCCTAATCAGTTGTTCCAGCTGCCAGTCACCAATCCTGTCTGGAAGTTCAGTGAAAAGCCCCCTTCGAGCTTTGGAGACAGCACTGACCCCCAAGGTGACACCAACAATGAAAGCTGCCCCCAGGGGCAGTCTGTGTCTGGTTGATTTGGTCACAACAGTTTTGTTAATATTGTGCTGTGTGCTGGAGGGATCCATTTTCTTCTTGAGGCTTTGATCAATAGGCCACATTGTACACTCCACTGGTTGATTTGTGGAAATCATTTTGAGTAAGTGTGGAAATATTTTTTTTTCCTTTCGTGAATAACCTCATAGTTCTACTCCATCGTGCGGATTTTCTTCCTAAGATTGGAAATCCCTTGGCAAAGCCTGTGTGCTCGTCAGTAAGCATATGCTGGAGCAGGCACGGCTGCGAGGAGCCGGCAGGTATTGAAACTTAAGAAACATTAGTGAAGATTTAGCACCTGCCATATAAAAGGAGGTACTGGAATGCTGTGTCCAGATGAACAAATAATACTTGGAAACGATACACTTAAGATACATCCTAGATGTGTGGTTTGATAAGGTTAGACATTCCTGGGAGTCACTGTGGATAGAAAAGACATTTTCTGGATGACAATGGCAGTTTCTGAAACTTGCTGGTCTTCGATAAAGGCCAAGGATAGTTAGTCCTATCCCAGCCATAGCTACATAGCTAACTGACTTCAGATAGTTGTCTTTTGGATATATATTAGAAAGCCATGCTTGTGTCTCTTATTACTTATCCTCCATTCATTTCATTATTTTAGTCATAAGTAACATCTGTAACCAGCAATTTTACCCTGGACTCTGCAGGCAGACTGTCCTGTGTAGACATTGACACTAAGTTTCTTCCAACTAAGTTATACTCTATAATTCTTATAAAATCTCTCTAATTTTCATCCCATGTCCTACAACACAGAAGTAAAAAGTGATTGGTTTTCTTTTGCAGAAAAGTGATCAGTTATGCCCTGTGTAAGAAACTGTTCAGATGCTTTCACATTCAGACTTTAAGTTGAAGCCTGAATCCCTGTCTTTCTTCTTCTCATGGGGTCTCTTATAGAGAACCCTTCCCTGTTTCGAGTATTCTATGTCAGCCATAGTTATAAAGGGAAGGACTGTGGATGTGTGTTTGACGTCAGAGCACTTGGAAGACCCAGTCCTTTGCCTTCAGCTCCATGCCCGTCACTTCAGATGCCTTACCCTACACACCCTCTCTACCACCTCCTGCCCGTGGCCATGGTAGTATACCTTCCTAGAGCTTGGACAGTCCTGGCCTCAGTTTACCAGCACATTCCTCCCTCCCTACCCCAGGACTCCTAGATTCCTCGAGATTAGGCCTCTGTGGCATGTGTCTGCTGACAAATCTGAGAGAATAATACTTCCCTGGGGCAGCCTTTGATCAGGAGGGAGTAGGAATTATTGGATAAAATTTCAAACTGGAGCCCCAGGATAGACTTTATTGACATTTAGATTGTTTGTCTTTGCTCATTAAAAAAGCAAACATGATTTGATACGTACAGTGGAGATAACAGATACTAAACATGTCTTGTTTTATAGTTTAGCCCAGGACCAAGTTTTGTGTCTGCCATATGGTAGCTGCTCCATAAATATTTGTGGAGTGATTGGCGCCTTAGAGAATGAGAAGAGGCCAGGGCTGTAGCTCGATGCTAAGTCACTTTCGCAACATACATAGTGTTCTGGGTTCAGTTGCCGTAGGGAGAGGCCGAGGAAGGTGAAAATACTAAAATAAGTATGTCAAAGTGGAGGACTAAACAAAAGTGCTCAAGTATAAACTGTTGTAATACATTTGGGATGTGCTCACCTACCTGGTTGTAGAACCACAGATTAGTGTGTTAAAGTGACAGAACACTGTTAAGAGGTCAACATTAGGAAATCTTAGTATTTTGATAGAATTAACACATACAGACATTTCTCCATTTTCAAGCTAAAGCCCACTCAAGGTCAGGAGTACACAAATGATACGATACAATAACTATAACTATATATACATATATACACACACACACACACACACACACATGCGTATATATGTACTTAGCAGGCTCATCATTTAAAATAATGTTAGATGGAAAAAGGATGGATGGATGGATGACAGGTGTTTGGTTGTGACTTGGCTGGGAGAAAAGATAGTTCCTCAGCAACCCCTCACTTTCAGTGACAGGCTATAAATAACACCATATTGTCTAGCTTATTAATTGTAGCTAATGTGAAATCCAACCAAAGCAGTTACTATGGACCTTTGGGAAGCGCCATCTTTTCTGCTGAACCACATAGTAAAGCATAGCATGCTTCCCTGTTGACCACTGGGTTGCAACAGCCAGGGCAGTGCTTCCCTTGTGATAAACAGAAACGCATACACACAACAGGACTTCAGGGGTAAAGAAGTAAAGGCTGAATTCAGCACCAATTACAAAATAAATGATAGCTGCCGTTTCTATACTTAAAGCAGGTTTTATAAAGGTAGCTATGTTCTCGTGGTGTCTCTGTGACCTTATTATTCCATTAGATTTTAGAACAGTATATAAAACCCAAGCTTCATGCTGACAAACACCAATATTGAAACTACTGCCACAGTCAGTCCAAACAGCCTTCTCCCCTGGGCCACGTTATTATTCAGAATCCAAGCAGAGTGGAGGCTCCCTGAACCAGCAGGGCACAAACGAGGGCAGTGATTCATGAGGGGACTCCAGCGAGTTTGGAAATGTTCAGCTTCCACAGAGGCTGGCGCGCACAAGAGAAGCTCGGGGCTGACTTTTTGAACTAGTAAGCACTTCCTGGCCTCACTACCACTTTCTAGGCCTCGGAGGACTCTGGAAGGGTGAAGATTTCTGAGGACAGGAGTGAGCCTGACAGAATGCTGATCTACCAGAAATAAACCCTTCAAATCAGATCACAGCTGTGTCAGTAGCGTTTTGAGCGGGAAGATGGTAATTTTGCCTCTTCACACGCTTCTCTAAGTCCTTGAACTTGCATTCCATTGGATTAGTCTTTGTGGGGCTGGGTCACCTGAGGTCTTAATTTCTACCCCAGTGGGGTTGGCTGAAAGTGATAGCGGTCTAAAAATACAACTCCCTGAACTTTTAAACCTTCAAATCTTTTTTGATAATATGACTTTCTTAATCTTGAACTTGATTTCTTTAATTAAAAAAAAGATCCGTTTGTTCTTTGATATTAGTAAAGTTCAGACGGAGCAGAAGCGGGCACAGGGCAAAGCTGTGTGCGGAGAAGGAAGTGAGGGAGCATGGGTAATGAGGCTTCTGACTGCAGCCTAATGAGACATCTGCCGAGCAGGTACCCCACATTAAGGTCCTTCCTCGCCCATAGACTTGGAAAGTGACAAGCCCTGGTTATCAGGTGACAGGGTACCAATTAGGTGCTGTAAATGGGCACATGGGCAAGTTTGAGGTCAGATACAGTTCTCACAGGTGAGGCTGCCCCAAGAACAAGGCCGTGACTTCCCGTCAGTGTGTGATTGGCAATGGTGGGGAAAGACCCCAGAGCTGTGTGTGAGGGCTGCCTTTCCCTATTTTGTCACCTTGGGTAAAGACTTCTTTAGAATAAAAAGAAGAATATTTATCGCACCATCAAAGGAATGCTCGAGTCTGCTAGGCTTTTAGTTAGAGGAAATGGGGCCCTGTGCTGGGACTGTAGTTATGAGGGTTCTGTTATCTTTACATGGACCGTGGAGGGGCCTGACCCACAGTGTCTAACTACATGGTGGGAAGAGGCAGAAGGCCTGTTTTGTGCCCCTGCAGTCAGCTGACTGAGCATATGCATCACTTAAGTGTCGTCTTCCATAGCTAAAAAACAGACACAAAAACGTTTGCATAGAAACAAACAGCACAAGATGGAGTAATTGTAATGACCAGATAGGGAACTGTCAGGGCACACGGCCCTTCAGAGACCAAGGTGAGCCTGAAGCAAGCCCAGCTGGAACTCCTGAGGTAGCGTGAAGACACAGAGCCAGGGAACCTGTTCCGCCACAGAAGCCAAAGCTGTGCGTATCCGCAAAGGGGAGAACTGCTCCCTAAAAGGCACTCAGAGAAAAACAAACAAGTCCCTGAAATATGCTTGCTGTCAGGCTCGGTGTTTAAAACGGGGCCTCCTTCAGGGCACCGTCTCATGCTGCCTCTCTCTCTCTCTTGGTTTCAGCTCCCATTTTCGCCAGCAGTCATTCAAGCCGAAGTGGAACAGCTGCTGGGGCCGTGCCACCCCCACATCCTGTCAGTCACCCTTCTCCGGGACATAATGTACAGGGGAGCCCCCACCACCCCTCCTCCCAGTTACCTCCACTCGCAGCTGTGGACGCAGGCACCGAGAGGTAAGGCCATCTGTCTCGTTCTCATAATAGGTGTTGCCGCCAAGCCTCCCTCCACGGAGAGGAGCGCTGACAGTTGCTGGATTTTATTAATAATCCGTTGGTGGGCTGAGTTACCCAGGGGTGACATTTTAAAAGTAACATACACAAAGCATGTGGACCAAATATCTCATTATCTGTTACATTTTTTTTATATATATAACAAAATGAAATGATACTGGCATTCAACCGCAGCTCAAGTGTCAGGAACTAGAAAATGTATCACAGCGTCCCAGCTTTGCCCCTTCACCTTGTTTTGGGGCTCAGTTTTCAGTTAGTTGAGGGGCTGGCTCTCCAGGTATAAACGACCCCATAGTCACACAGTGCGAGTTTGTGTGCTAGGCAGCCTTCCATTTTCACAAAATGACTGAAAAACAGTAAACGTATAAGTTGGCCTTGGCTCATGGTTTCAGGGATTTCACCCATGGTCACTGAGCCTTGCTTTGGGGTCATTGGGGTGGGAGTGTGTGGCAGAGGGGCCTTTTTCACCTCATGGTGGCTAGGAAGCAAAGAGAGAGACAGAAAGGGACTACATTTCTCCATTTTCCCCTTCAAGGTCATGTCCCCAACAACCTAACTTCCTTTCACTAGACCCCACTTCCTCAGAGTTCTACTTCTTCCCCAAGGAGAAATCCAGGGTGGTGCCCGGGCCATGTCTCAACACACAGGCCATTGGCAATTGTTCAAAATCCAGACGGCAGTACCTTGGGAGAAGACAGAGTTACAGAAAAGGTTGCATGATAGCCAGGAAACGACTGTTTCCTCAATACTTTTTGTTGGTGTCACCCTCAGAAAGAATTTCTATAGGAGGACCCCTAAATAACTGTATGTTTCCATTTTACTTCTGAATTCTCCAGTGGCTTTAAAGATTTGGGGCTAGACATGGTTCTCCTATCTCTACTTCCAAGATGCATCTGTTTCTGTGAACCACAAATCCAGACAGTTTCTCAGTGAGTGAAAGGCACGATGGCACAGGCATCAAGAGAAAAAGACTTTGCCTCCTCACAGATGAAAGGGCACAGCATCTCAGACAGCAAGGGCACCTGCAAGATGAGGAGAAGGTGGGCGTGCAGCAAGTACAGGGTCTTGGCCACTCAGGATAGCAGGATGCACGTGGATGATGATTTGGTGATGGCGGGTGGGCTGGCTTCTGTGGAAGTCAGCGTTTTGAACCAAGGAGTTGCCCTCATCCTCCTGGAAGCACATAACCAGTGTGAAAAGAAGCATGCAGTGAAGTTGACGTCACAAAGGAAGGACTCTGCATGAGAACACCATGAGAGACAGGGAGGGTACAGAGTGAAGCTACATCTGGGTTCCTTGGGAGCAACATGGTGCCTTGAAGTAAGACAAGGAAGTCAGGAGAATTCACTCAAGAGCTTTACTAGGAGGCAGACTTTTGAAAGAGGAGCCAAACCAGTACCCAAGTTATCTCTAGAAAACTGTGCCCCTAACAAAATTTGAGAAATAAAAAAAGAGAAGGAATAATAAATTGAGTTTCAGAGCATGACTCTTATGAGATAGTAAAAGATCTGCATGTAGATGTATGTGATGATTAGAAACGAGAATCAGAAGGTACAAATGATTTTAATAGCTGTGTGCACGTGGTAAGTGCCGCTTCCCCTGGGAGGAACTGTCAGCAAAAGCATGTCTGTGGTCACCATGTCATGGTCACTGGAAACATGAACTCTATCCTTCAGTTACCTGAGCCTATCTCTTTTAGCATCTTTACAGTCCCCAAATGGACTAAAGATGGTGTCACCACGGCACGCAGTCCCTCACACAAGGCTGCTCAGACAAACACAGGTTGCCTTGGCAGGACTGGGAGGGTTAGGGTTGGAATCTAGAGGATGTTCAGTGATCTCAGTGATCCATAATGTAAGGAACCGTGGAGTGGGGAAGGAAGAAGGGAGTGGGACAGCACAGTAGCTCTATGGGAATGAGTAAATAGACATTTTCACTCTTTCGAGTTTATATTGCTGCATGTCCTCGCCACAGGATCTGAACTCTGATCCCACACCTGACTGACTGGGCAAATGTGAGATGTGGGTTATCTCTCCCCATCAGGATGGAGAAGAGGATGCCATGAAGAAGCCCTGAATTAGTCCCTGTGTTTTCACTAGGGACCAGGATGGAACCGCAAAGAGGAAATGGACTCACCTTCCGCTCTGGCTTTGTCCATCTTTGCTCTGTTTGCCTGGGAAATCCCCCAGTAAAAACTCCAACAGCTTTCTTAACGGAAACAGGTTGATCACACGTTGTGATTTTAGTGGGGCACTGGCATCTTTTCCTGCTTTGCAGGCATTGATTCATCATTTACTTAGCTCTAGCTCATTAATAAAATGGCCTGAGTCACCGTCAGAAGTTAGCAAAGGCCCACGGCAGCTGCCCATCTAACATCAAGCTCTTTGATCCTGCCCATCGTAAAATAAATGTACCGTCCCTCAATTTGATGAGAGTCTATTTTTATTTTTAAATGCTAACTACATGACACATAATTCCAGGGATTTGAGCAACAACACATCCCCTGATGTTGATTTGAACTTCTTAAGGGAAGTGGTGTTTTACTGTGCCGTGGTGTTTTACCGTGCCATGGTGTATGAGCCACCACCGGTACTTTATGGCGACAAGTGGCTACCCTTGAGAGGAACTCAGTGTCTTTGGAAATGCTAATTCTTTGGGCTTAGTATGTCTGTTATGCCAACAAATCACAAAAATATTTATGGGCAGCCATTTTGAAATGGAAAAAATCTTTAACTTGAGTTTGCATTGCTCATGTTTAAAAGAGCATGTCAGCCACCTTGCTTCCTTCTAAAGGCCACAAGCACAGTACACTTCGTAGTACCAGTGACAGGGATAGGAGCTGTGGACTCCCTACAAAGAGGAGGGGGGCTTACTAAAGATTTTCTGAACCCCATCTGAGGGATAAGATGGAAACAAATGAAAAGATTGGGTCTCTTTGCAGAACGTGTAGTCTGGCGCAGGAATTAAGATCAGAAAATGTTAGGAATCCTTGCTTTGGAAAAAAGTAGTTAAATTGTCTTTACCAAATAAAGCATGCCAGTTTCTCGAGTTCCTATTGAGTACTAGAATGTCCCATGACTTCTTTCATAACGTTTCAGATGTGGCATTGCCGAAATTCTAGGTGCTTAGATATGTATGAGTGTTTGTATATTTTGGCCAACCGAAGCTATGCCTCATCGGGGCCGTATTCTCACTCATTGCTGGAAACTTGGTACCGTCTGCCTAGATGCTGAAGGTCAAAGCATCGCTGTTTCTCAGCACTGCTTTTGCAATTAGTAAAGCTCTCCATTATCAGCTCCATTCTAGGCCAGCCAGCCTGGTCACTGCTCCTTGCTTCATTCACTTGATGCCATGCCTTAACTTAGCCATTCACACTATCACATACAGCCTTCAGTGCTCTGCTGAGTTCCCGGGAAACCTCCCCGTTTCTCAAGTCTGAGGCTGACACTGCTGTAGAACCCCTTGGTTCTTAGGATCTGTTACATCTATCGTAGATCTGATGTATCTATCAGCTAGAGCTGAGTTCGATGTCGGAGGACAGGGGCCTTGTTCCCTCACAACCTTTCTAATATTTTGCTCTGAGTTATACTATCGAATATTTAGTGTAGGCTACCATATGTCAAGGAAGCTGTGACAAGGAATAAAGAGCATCGAGGAGAATGTCTAGGAAAGAGGAAGACATTGCCTACCTACTGGCCCAATGGAAGGTTCCCATAGTGTTCTCTTTGAGTTTTGTTTTTGTCAGAAGGACAGTGGTCTTGATTCTTAATGCTTCTGCCATCTTATACCTCTTGCAGACTTTAGTGTAATACCTAGGTGCCAGTCTCCTGCACATATAGATACATACTAAGAGGTATGGTGCTTTCTGTGGCTCTCAATGCTAGGAGCCTGGTACTGTGATCGCTCATTGGGATGTTAGCATTATCTCTTCTTAGCATCAGAACACCTCAGAACTAGGCCTGCTGCTTTCCTAGTCTTTCTCCTGAGCACTCAGGGATGTCCTCATCTACACAGCTTTCTCGTAGCCTCATGTGCATTCACATAATCTTCCCTCTTTCTTCTTAATCTCCTCATCTATGTTCAGTAATCATAAAAATGTAGCAAGATGTTAAAGCTGATCAGAATCCATTCTAACCCTGGGGGCTCTGTGGTTAGTTGAGTCTTTCATTCAGCTGGAATTGATGAAGCATGAGATAGGCGGACAGTGAGGACTCCATGCGACACATGATGAACTAGAGCCGTGCTGTCTCTGAGCCCCGAGTCTAATGGGGGGCAGCTGAACCAATAGCCCATGATACCTTATCAGAGAAGGGAAAGGTGATGCAGGGGCTTTGAAGGCGCAGAGCAAGAGTGTCTGTTGGCAAAATGAGGGAGGAAACATTAGAGGAAGCAATGTCCCCATGAAAGCTGATCCTCAGGCTCTGTTTGAATGTCAAGAGGAAAGACAGTAAAGGTAGGCGGGGCTGAGCCTGTAATGGCGAGTAACCCCATATTAGCCACATTGAGGAGTTTCAGCTTCCTCTTGAGAGCAAGAATGTGTGCATCTGGCCAATGAAGAGCAATGACAGCTACAGCATTCATTCTAAATGTGCCTGATGTTTATTTCATCCCCAGAAGATTCGGAGTGTTTTCCAGAAGCAATGAGAAGGAGTGGGAAATTGTTTCATTGGTCCTCCGTCAGATACGGGCAGTCCTCTGTAGTTCTTAGACTAACAAGTCCACACTGTGGAGTTGATGTTATTTTATCCCTTAGTACAATTCGAAAGGATCATTTTGTTCTTTACCATTCCAATCTTTTATCCTACACAGTTACAGCTCATCGGGCCTTTGAAGAGTCCCCGAGCATCAAAAAGAGTTGAAAATTCTCTCTCGGTTAGAGAGAGAGTACCAAAGGTTTGGAAATAGAGACACTGCTTGGCCTCACCTGTCTGTTGCATTAGAGGAGAGTTGACTT